CAACGAATCTCTTTTTCATGCACTTTCATACGAAATGAAGGTCCCCCTAACAATGTTATCTCAGGAGATTTATTGAAACCAATTTTCTCTTCGTATCTTCAATCTAAGTAGCCAACCGTTAATAGAGTCATGTTATAATAGGCCGATGCATGAGCATGAAAGTCGAGTGAATTCTTCTTGAGAATCAATTAGAGTAGAAATAAAAGTTTCGGGTAAAACTCCACTAATGATGCACTTTCTGTCAATTATTTCTTTCAGTTAATCGTCCTTGGTCGAGCTGTCGAAGTGGATCCCCCTAAACTAAATGGCATCGGTCCTCCAAGAAACTTGAGGAGTGTCCCAAATATGTCGCTATTTTCTCTTATAAGGATGAAGTTTATCTTAAGCAAGAATATCCATACTGCAATTAGGCAATCAGAGTCCTCCATTGTCACCTCAAGCTAAAAAACAACATGAATCCGTAATTCGCAGCACATGTTAATATTCTTGAGGTGAATTTAAACTATTAGAGCAGTGATTCCCAAACTGTGCGCCGCGGTGCCCCGGGGAGCCGCGAAATATTGTAAAAGCTTCAATTATACAAAATGAGCAGCGGTTAGCAGGTTCATCCATCACATTAATTTTTAAATATTAATTTAATATTAATAAAGTTAAAAAAATAATGAAGATACACGAGTTTTATTTATTTTTATCTCTTACTTACGAATAGTCATACTTAGGGTAGGGCGCCATGAAAATGTTTTAATTGAAAAAGAGCGCCGCGACTAGGAAAAGTTTGGGAACCACTGTATTAGAGTGTATTAAGTCATTGTGAAGGTTTCAATATTCGAATATTTTTAAAAATCTGACTGATAACGAATCCATATACGATTAATGTAGCCATGCATTCGAAGAGACCCTTCTCTCCCCTGATGGACTGAACTTTCGCCTTTGCCACATTATCTCATCCGCTTGATCGGTATAATCGACCTGTCGATTTCAGTTGAAAAGGCAAATATTATGCCTTTTAGGTCCCATGACTGTTCACTAATTCACCTGTTTGGCGAGAAATTTTTTATCGATAAGCAATAGTTTGTATGCCACTAAATTCTATACCCTACTGACTTTTTGGTTAGAAAAAGATTTTTCCCACTTTCGCTATGAGTAGGCTCCGAGATTACCAGTAATTATTGAATATGAAGCTAATCATTCTAGGTTGCTTGAAGTGATGTAAAGACTGAAAGTTGTCTTTTTTCCACGTTAATATGGGCAAACCATATGATGTCATTGAATTTTACTTAGCTCTGCCTTCCAAAAGCATCGACGAGAAAAGCTTTTGGCTGGCAAGGCAAATTTGTTAATGATGTCGACTAAGATGCCACAGTTTTATATGTGCTTTGAGTTCTTTGCTTCATCAAGAAATATGCCAAAAAGAAGACTATTTTTCATGTATGAGGTCTTCAAGTAAGATTCTAGCTCCATGCCTAATTGCAACTAAAGGAAAGATGTCGTATTTGCCATTTTCAGCCCATTCCTTCCGCTTTATAGGGACTAATTTCAAAATATTAGTATTTAATAGATCAATATTGTTAATATTCAATCAAAAGGTAGTCATAGACTACTCAGTTTTGATAAATGAAAATAAGAGTGATGCGACCTCTAGTTTTTCCGCAGTCCTATATTTAAGCCGAGTTGATAGAACTTTATATTCGCTACATGGTATCATTAACAAGGAAACTCAGGAAAGCACATAATATACTGTGTCATCTGCTTTCGTTATCACACCCTATTTCAACATTGACACGATGATTAGGTACTTTCCCATATATGCTGCTGGCAGTGTGGCTGGCATCGTCAGCAAGCAGAGAAATTCATGGCACCAAATTAAAACTTTTAGCACTTTTCTGAACTTTTTTTTATTTGTCCAGCTGATTGTGGGCGAAAAATATCGGCTAAGATACCCATTCTCTGTTCTGAAATTGGAAAGACACTTGACAACAATGGCACAGACAAATTAACTATTTGTGGTCTCGAATCTTTGGTAGCAATCAAGGCAGCCAATGAAGTTTTCAGGCAAGTTATAGCACTTTTTTCGTTATTCAGCACTTCCTCAGCCTGTGGCATAATATGCATATGTGAGACTCAAAACTAGTATATTATATTCACAAGTTTACACAGCCTTGGCTATATCGAAACTCGGATACAGATACACCCACAAACTTGCCTGCACTTTGTAAAATTCGCTGGTCCTTGTCAAAGCAATAAAGCCTTCTGTAGCCTTCTTTGAATCGTATATAGACCAGGTGCCTTTACTTAAGCAGAAAGCTTGTTGTTGCCTTTCGATAATATGTGATCAGCTTATTACTATTAGCCTTCAGCTAACACATTTTTATAATTCCTACAACATAAAGAGCATATAATATGATATAATATTAGATGGTGCAACCTTATTGGCAATAAATTACACAAACTTAGATGAAGATATCTTTAATGATATCATAACTTTTCTAACTTGTCTTCATCTCTATAATAATTGTCTAAAATCTATAATGCTGGGAAGCTAACTTGAATAAGAGTTTTAATCGCCCTAGGTCGCATAAGATGATGGAAGACTGATAGTTGAATTTTCACATAATCCTATGAGTATACCTCACGTGTCCCTTTATTTTTTGATATAGCCTTGCTGTCTAAAAGCTATTCTCATCCAGTTAGGAGTGGACTGCAGTTTCGACCTCACCTTCATCATAACCCCCAGCGTGCTTTGAACCCGATTAGCGCTGCCTATAACAGTAAAGTAATTGGTTGTTACAACAATTATACAAGTTGGTTTCATCGGCGTGCCTATTTTAAATACGAAGTTATAGAGATATGGATGTTGCCTGATGTGGTTTTCGCAACCTGGTTGTGTTGTCAGGAAGATTTGGTTGTGCACCCCTTGTTCAAAGTCCTCTGCTATAGTAGCTATCCTATTTACAAGTATCGGACCGTGGACTTGGTACATTCTCAGACATTTCGCCGGCATCGTCAACGCGTATTGCCATTCTCAGCACCAAGCCACAACTCGTTAAAGGGAGAAGGGAAGTCAATCCCTTGACAAAACTTTCTTCCTAAACGATTGTGCTATCATTGCTCTTTCTATCCTGGCACATCTACCTACGCCACACCCACTTACCTCACTCACGCCTTATCACAACTTCTCACTAGTTTGTATACCACTCCTCAAGAGGTATGCTCTTTTGGTGAATAAGCCGTGGAGTCATCACACCTGCTCTTTGTCTTGGTAAGGAGATGGCTTGCACTATTACCCAGAAGCACTCGTGACAGTGTTACAATAGCCGGGTTCTATTCTTTTTTTTGGGTGCTGGCAAGATGGTTAGGCGAAGCATAAAATGCAATACAATCGAGTCAGTATGAAAATACATTTGGAAGGGAAGGAAAAGTTAAATTTAATGGCATATGGAGGTCTAATCAAAGGATTGTGGTAAAATTTTAATGGAAATTCATCAACAAATCATGTGATCAAGGGGACTAGAATTCTTATTCAAATTAATCTTTCTATTATACCTTGTTATACCTTGTTATACCTTGTTATCCAGACCTCTATTTTTCATTCTTGAATCCGGCCGGCTCTAATCAGTTGCCCAAATACCAAGGATGGGCCAAAAATGTTCCAGTTTCCAGATCAGACATATTATCGCTAGATCATACATGGTGAATGCGCTGTGGGTTAGTCTTATCACAATTCCCCTCATTCTGTGTATGGAGTGATGGGTGGTGAAAAGTGAGTCTGTTCATTATATTCTTTGAAACTCAGCTTGAAATCGATGTGATATGTATTCATCCCATTTCGTTTGAATTGATGAAGTACTGGTACTAGAATTTTCCCACAATGATATAAATAGAGTCGACGTTTGCACTCTATTTCAAATAGCCTTGCTTTCCCAAAAGTTGTTCTTATCCAGGGTGGACTCGTGGCAAGGACTCATGTCAGCACTACTCATATCATTGTGGGACGAAATAGGGTGAATACATCTCATATTACTGACTTACTGGTAGTCTCGAAAATCTAGTTACATACAAAAAATCTAATTCGATGCTTTGGTGCTTAAAAATAGTGGCAAAGCCTTGCCGCAAGGTGGATTGCCTACCAACTACATGCAGTTTTCATATTCCCAAATAAGTGTAGTCTTTTAATGAACACTCTATTTCCTCCATATTCAAGGTTTAACTGAGCAATAAGTGAAGTAAAGAAGCATCTATTGCACCCTCATGGCCAAACTGATATCCTCGAGGGCGCGGTCGGCAGCCGACTGTTTCTCCGCCAGTTGGACGCCCTGTTCCGAGGCCTCTCGCTTGAGCTGGTCGACACGCTGTCGTGTCTCGTCAATGCGGACCAGACCGGCTCTCAGTCGGTTGGCTTGTCCCAAGAGTTGTTCTCGGTGTTTGGACTCAAGACGAAGTTGCGTCTCGATCAGAGCCACATAACGCCGCGGACTGGCGCTGGTCACGCCGAGTGTGTGTGGTGAAGCCGTAATTGAGCTGGTGTGCACCGCCAGGCAGGCTTGTGCCAGCAGGTCTGTAGAAATGCCGCATCGGCCGACCTCTTCACTTGTTCGTCTCCCTTTGCCTGGTCGACCTGACTTATCTCGAGGCGTCCGGCGGCTCAATGAGACGGAGGCACGGCGCTGCCGACTGGCCAGGTCGCGTGGCAACTGGAGCATGACGTTCCTGCTCCACTCTGCCAACCAGACAACCTCGCAACACTTGGTCAAGGCCGGATTGGCCTGCAGACAGGCGACCAACTGGGCCCGATTGTCCACATCCAATAACAGCGCCACATGCAGATGAGCTCGCACTCGACTCGCGAAGAAGCTCATCGAGGAGCCACGAAAGCCGGCTTCTGCTGCCGCCTCCTTCAGACTGACGCCAGAGGCGTTGCTGGTGGCCGCCATCACCTCCACTTCGTCCGGTGTGAACAGTCCGGGCGCCTCACCGCTCACCAAAAGACTGTTCAACAGGCCCAGAATACTGGCGTCATTCAGTTGATGCTCCTCCAGCACTAGCAACGTCTCACGACACTCCAAGCCGGCCGGTTGACAAGCCGCCCGAAGGTCTGTCAAAAAGTGACGCTGGCCATACTGTCGGCCGACTCGCAGTCGGACCAGCTCAATCTGATGCAAATGAGCCATCAGTCGAAGGCAGATGCGTCGTCCGAATCCGGCTCGGCCAATCAACAACAGACATCCGGCCGGTCGTGACAACGCCCTGTCGATGCAGGCGACCAGATCGAGCAAATCGACATGCACGACGATGCCACCGGCTCGGGGAGTCGACTCACGCGCCAGATGAGCCAGACCACGTTGGACGAGCTGACGAAACCGCCGACTGGCCATTGGAGCCAACTGGCGGCCTCGCAGAGGCATCGGACTGCTGGCAGCGCTGGCCGACGCCTCCCGCAAACCCCGAGTCAGAAACCAGAAGTCGCCCGCTTCTCCCTCCCTCCTGCTCATCTCTTCAATCCCTGCCAGTTCATTTTGACCCTCCTCCTCTTTCGCTTCCACTCCCTCTTCCTCTTCCTCATCTTCAACCTTCACGAGACTGGCGTCCGTCTGCCATGGCTCGCCAACTGCGAGTCGGAGCGCAGTCTCGCTCCCCTGAACCGGTGCTCCCGACGAGGCGGACATTGCGGCAATCGAGAAGTTGCCCAGCAACCGTGTAAGACAGGCGTCAAAGCGTTGCTTTGCTTCAGGCCCTGGCAACGGGTCGCGAAGTAGCCGACGCGCCTCGTAGCCAAAAGCCGACCAGACAGCGTCCGTCTTGTCTTTTGGATAGCGCAGAAGGCCAGACACCCAGGCTGTCAGGCTGCGCAGACTCACCGGTCCAATTCCGGCCGGATCGTCGGCTCGGCCGACGGACTGGTTTAGCTCAGCCCAGACATGTACCATGATGGTGGCCATCTGATGGACAAGAACGTCCGTCTTGGGCAGATTGCGGAGCCGTTGATCGACTGGCGACTCTTGGGTGACCGAGGAGGCGGTTAAAACGCCGGTCAGCAGACAGGCGTAGATGCTGACCAACTGATCCGTGTCCGGATAGCCCAGAACGGCCAGTCGCAAAGACGAAGTGAACCGAGCGCAGAGAGGATGCCGCCCTGGGGAACCGGAAGCACCGGTGCCCGGCGTCAGAGTACACACCAACTGGATGCCCTCGACACCGATGAACTCCAAACTGACTGGATCATAAAAGCCGTGATAGTTGAGTAGCTGATCGATAGGGTGGACGCACAAAAAGGCAGAGAAATTCCGTTTGTGCTGAATAACTTGCAAGACGTCGAGTACACAAAAAAAACTTTCAATATTCAATCACTTTAGAGACTTCAATCGATCATAAAAGCATTACACTTTCATTTCAAGTCTACGTACACTTGTCACCGCCACCAGATTAGAAATAAGGCAAATTTAAATGTGCTTATTTGATTAAACATCCATAAGGGACACCTTAACTGTTACACACACACACACACACACACACACATACAGGGCAAGTACCACTCGAAAATTGTGGGCAAGGTAATGTATTGTATGAGAACTTAGTCAGCCTAGGCCACTTGAGATGAGTTATGCACTGATAATTGAGTTTTTTAACAATCAAATGAATAGATCTTACAATACCATAACATTTTGCATAGCCTTGGCTCTCCAAAGACTATTGCATCCAGACCGTACTGCCTTTTTACACCTCACCTAATGGTCTCACCAACACACCCAGCGAGATTCGATGCCAGGTCCAAAGTATTGTGGCGATGCTAAGACTCCATAACACAGCCACGGATACCAGTAGGTTACAGTGCAAAGATGACCATTGAGGCACACCACTCATCATCCAAGTCTAATTTCTAATGTAATTATCGATTTAGCTAGTGCAATCGATGACGAAGATAAATGCTTAGTAGTATTAAGTAGAAGGAATAAATGCATACTATTAAAAATATTCATTTATATTTCAAGTGAGAAGATGGTCTAACCTTGTTCTCGCAACTTGGTTGTGTTGTCAGGGTGACGCAGTAGATTGGTTTTAAGTTTGTTGGGCTAACTTTATCATGGGCACGAACTTCTGGATTTGCATATACTTACCTTCGTGTAAAAATAATGATCGAGAATATTAAACTATTGAGGTTGTTTGACCAAGTTTTTGCTACTTGGTCATATTGGTAGGAAGACTTAGAGAAACACATCTAGTCCGGAGTCCATTGTATGCATAATCATTTCCAGATTAGGACCGTGGACATGGTACATTCCCAGACGTTTCGCCGGCATCTTAGTCGGCATCGTCAGTGAGTCTCGCCATTTTAGCACGTCACAACAACTCGTCAATGAGACAAGTGAAGTCGATCCTTTGGCCAAACGTGTGCTAAACAGTTGTGATATCTCTACTTCCACC